GCTGATGGTGAACCCTGGAAGAGAAAGGGGGAGATCAAGACAGGGAGCCCCACTGCCCACAGAGCAGTCCAGCTGCTCAGGCACAGGTGCAGCCAGGGAGTGGGGCAGAGTCGGGGCAGGGGCTACCTGCGGTGGCTTCCTGGCATTTGTCGAAGGACCAGCGGACTTCCACAGCCTGCCCACGCTCCTTGATCTGCTGCTCCGTCTCCCGCAGCCTCGCTCGGACCTGGCAAGGAAGCGGCATCAGAGGAAGAGCCTGGAGGCTGCCAGGATCCTGAGCCAACCGGGGAAACGGGGAGGGAGCAAGCCTGGCACAGCCCCTCCCACAGTCCCGGGTCAGCCAAGAGGTGGGCTGCTGCTCACCTGCTGTATGAAGCTGGCGTTGACCCCTGGCATGGGCAGGTTTGAGGGGGCAATGGGCAGGTGGTCGAGGGGAGAGCCCGTCTTGATTCTGCTGTCAGTGAGGGAGTAGTGCCAAACAAGGGCGCTGGGGCAACACAGGACAATACTCTGAAGCCAGAGGAGGAGGAGGAGGAGACAAGGAGGAGGTTGAGTTCTCTAGGCCGCCGTGCTCGAGGGCAGTTCGAGCGCTCAGAGCTCAGCTGGTCAGCCATTTCCACGGTACTCTCTGATCCCCAAAGCCAAATGCTCCTTGTGTATCCGCACCCCCCCCCCCCCGGGCTCCTCTGTGTCTCTGGCGGTGAATCTGCTGGGATTCTAAGGGCAGCTCCTGTCCTCAGCACTGGGCAGTTCTGAAAGCAGCCCCACTCCTGAGGCTTCCTACCTGCCTTCCTCCGGCTACAATGAGCCAGCCAGAGAAGTCCTCCCTATGCTCCTTCGGAAGGCCTTTCCTCTCAAAATGCCTCTGGCCTCCGCCCCAGCCCTGCGGGACCCCTGCAAAGAAGGCGCTTGCCTGGAGGATGCAGCTGAGTCCGAAGACAACGGGGCGATGCTGGGGGCACAGCAGCAGGTCGCTGAAAGGGCTGGCGGAGGAGTTTCCCGCAGCCGGCTGGGGAGTCGGGGTGGAGGGGAGCGCAGGGGCCGCCTGAGAGGGAAGGTGGTGAGCTGGGTGCCCACCGCTGGCGTCCAACAGAATGGCAAGGCGGCGGGTGCAGAAGTAAGCCAGGCGCCTGGACAGGTAGGCCGACTGCACAAACTCACTGGAATACTGTGGGGGAGAAAAGAGACCAGGGCTGGAGGCTGCGGCATTAGCTCAGCCCAGAAGCCCACTGCTCTCTGGGGCCTCACAACCCACCGGGCGTTCCTTCCAGACCCAGCGCACCAGCTGCCGCCCTCCATACTCCATGCCGCTGAAGTGACGTAAGGTGCCCATCCAGCTAAAGCCCTCCCTTCCATACAGTTTTGGTCCCGCTTTCCTGTTTCAGCCCTGGAGTTTCCCCTCTCCTAAGTTTGCCTGGGGAGGGGGGCTGACCTGCAGGAGCAGCGGCAGGAGCAGCTTCAGGAGCTCGTCTTCACCGGGCCGAATCTTCTCAAAGCACTCAAGCACCCAGGTCAGGAACTCGTGCCGGTCCAGCATCCCATCCTGGAAGGAGCAGGAGAGGCACACTGAGAAGGCTGGGGGGGGGGGGGGGGGGCGGCTCAGCTTGCCCGTCTTCCACCCATTTCCCACTCAAGGGAACCCCGCCAGCCAGTCTGCGGCCACCTCCCTTCCCCGCTCTCACCTGGAACATAAACATGGCCAGCTTCTCATTGTAGTCCCACTGCTTGACCGAGTGCTCCACCTCCTGGGGCATGATGCTGGAGGGCGAGCCGCAGGCTTGTGCCAGCAGCTGCCGGTGAAAGTCGGCGATCTTCTGCAGCTGCTCCCACAGAAACTTGGTGATGATCTGTGTCCACTCTAGAAAGGGAGAGGGGCCGTCAATGGCAGGGATGGGGCCGGACCTGCTGTGGGACTCAACATGCACAGGAAACAAGGGAGACCATGGACAGCTGGGGTGGTGGTGTGTGAACAGACTGTCCTGGTGATTGGGGGGGGGCAGCAGAAACAGTTGTCATGGGAGGAGGCCGAGAGAGGCCCAGTTGGAGGCCGGAGCAGCAGCCCTTACCGCTGAAGGGGTCAATGACATGCCGCTTCTTCACCTTCGTTTCCGTAATGGCAGCGTAATAGGCACAGGTCATCTTGATCAGCCAGGCAGCTCTCATCACGGGCACTGCGTACTTGGCCAGGTAACTAAATATCTCCTCCTTCTTGCTGAAGATGGGCACCTGCCAGGGAGGCCGATTCACAGACAGTTTGGTCAGAGACCTAGCCAGGAGGAGGGCTAGGAAACCAGGCATCGGGTCAGCTGCAGCCACCGCTCTCCTCACAAGAGCCACCCCATTTCACTGGCCCCATCTCGTTCTTTGGTCTCCCTCCACAACCCCTGCTCCACGACAGGGCTGAGAACTCCTGCTCATCCCACGCATTCTGCCCTTGCCTAACTCCCTTCTCCACCCGGGGCTCCTCACTCTTGGCCCAAGTCCTTGCCGAAGCCGTCCGACACTAATCCATGACGGTTTACGGATGCTCTGGGTCTCCTGGCCTCAGCCACCCCTTCCTTAATGCACCCCCTCTTCATCTAGGGAGCCTTGGCAGCGCGATACCTTTTTAGCCAGGTGGGTGAGGGGTTTGGTTCCAGCCAGATCATTGAACCAATTGTTAATCGCGCTCTGGGAGCGAGCCGTCACTGGCCAGAAGTTGTCCTTTTGGTTCACCTGTGGTTTCCGACGGCCAGTGTCAGGCAACGTGTTGCAGCGCAGCTTTTCGGCAATGATGCTGCTGAAGTTGGAGCTGATCTGGAGGAGAGGAAAAGGAGCTTTCAGGCTTCTCCAGCCACCCCACGGAAGCCCCGTCCTCACGAGTAACGGCTCGGCTTCAGCGATGGAAGCGCCTCCACCTCCACATGGAGAAGAGCCTCCTCTGCAGCCTGACGCCGGTGCCCTCTTCCTCTTTATGAGAGGCTGCGTTTAGTGACACAGTGCCATGACGGTCTCAGCATCCTTTCGCCAGCTCATTGCTGCTGCCCACAGCTTCACCCCAATCCAAAGACCAGATTCGGGATGGGGGAATGGCCAGCCAGCATTTGCAATGCAGATCCCAGGATCCCTGCCCCCCCGCCCCCATTGCAAACTTTCAGCTATGGGTGAGTAACACAGGAAGACGGGCCCCACCTTGAGCTCTTGGGGGGGGTCCACAGCTGTAGCCCCCAGGGCGGTCCACAGGGGAGGCCTCACCTTGGCGGGGTTAAAGTTGACGTTCTTGGCGCTGCCGTGCTCGTCCCCGGAAACAGCCGGCTGGTTGTTGAAGCCCTGCTTCACGTTGAGGGCCGTCAGCTCGTCCTGGGGGAGGAAAGCCAGAGTCAGCCAGGGTCGGTCAGCAGCCCCTTCCCCTCCCCCCCCGTCTCCCCCAGGGCCCTCCTGCAGGGGCAGCCCCTCCCCCCAGGAGACCCCACGGGCCACAAGGCGGAGGGAGGGGCGGAGGGAGGGCCGGGGGGATCCCGGGGCTTCTTTACCACCCAGACACCGGCTGGATACCGGCAGGAGGAGGCGGGTCCCGGACAGGGCTCGCCCAGCCGCCGGGGGGGGGAGGGGAGGGGGGTAGGAGGGGCTTAGATGGAGCCTCCATGGCCAAGAGCAGCCAGACCCCAACGGGGGGGGGAGGCGGGGTCCGCGGGGTCCCGAGCGCCACGGCCGCCCCCCACCCCCACCCGGACCCTCGGCGGCGGCGGCGGCGCCCTTCTTCCTCCGGGCCGCGGGGGGCGCTGCACCGTCCGCCCTGGCCGCAGGGGGCGCCGTCCCGGCCGTGGGCTCCGGCCGCGCTCACCTCCTTCTGCTTGGGGTCCTGCGGGTAGACGTCGGGCGGGCCCAGGCGCGGCCGCTTGAGAGGCCGGTGCTCGTAGCTCAGCACCCCGAAGGCCGCCATGGCCCGCCAAGAGCCGCTGCCGGCCCGCCCGCCGACCAGACGCAGGCCCGGACACCGGGTCGGCGGCGGCGGCGGAACCAGCCGAGCCGGGCCGACGGCTGCCGGAAAAGGCCGAGCGCGGGGTCGGGGCGGGCGGGCCGCGCCGAAGCCTTCCGAGGGCCGCTCGGCAGCGTAGGACCCGGGCGGCGCCGGAATGGATCGCGCGCGGCTTGCGGGGGGCGCGGAGGACAAAAAGCGGAGCACCGCCGCGGCGGTCGGAAACGATGACGCGCCTGGCCGGGGCCCTCCCTTTTCGCCGCCGCGCACGGAAATTGCCGAGGGCGGACGGAGATGCCCGAGGACGGCGCGGCGTCTCCCCCTGCAGGCCGAGCTCGGTCACTGCAGCGCCCCGCAGTCCAACAGGTCGAGGCGGAGTCGGAGCCTCACCTGTTGGGTCACTTGGCCGGTTGATGCATTTAGAACAGAATAGAATTTTTATTTTATTTGTAATGGATGATGGGTGTTTTATGTTTTGTTTTTAATTTTTTTTTAAAAAAAAATTTAAAAAAAGATTTTTTATTGGCCAAGTGTGATTGGACACACAAGGAATTTGTCTTGGTGCATGAACTCTCAGAGTACATAAAAGAAAAGATACGTTCATCAAGAATCATAAGGCACAAGGCTTAATGATAGTCATAGGGAAACAGTCAATATGAATCGTAAGGATGCAAGCAACAAAATTACAGTCATACAGTCATAAGTGGGTGGAGATGGGTGAGGGGAACCCTGAGAAGAAGAATAGCAATACTGTCTTAGTAGCTAATTTGACAGCGTTGTGGAAATTAGTTGTTTAGCAGAGTGATGGGGTTTGGGAAAAAACTGTCCTTGTGTCTATTTGTTCTGGTGTGCAGTGCTCTATAGCGTCGTTTTGAGGGTAGGAGTTGAAACAGTTGATGTCCAGGATGCGAGGGGTCTGTGGATATTTTCACAGCCCTCTTTTTGGCTCGTGCAGTAGACAGGTCCTCCATGGAAGGCAGGTTGGTAGCCATTGTTTTTTCTGCAGTTCTAATTATCCTCTGAAGTCTCTGTCTGTCTTGTTGGGTTGCAGAGCCAACCAGACAGTTATGGAGGTGCAGATGACAGACTCCATCATTCCTCTGTATCAGCAGCTCCTTGGGCAGTTTGAGCTTTCTGAGTTGGCGCAGAAAGAACATTCTTTGTTGTGCTTTTTTGATGACATTTTTGATGTTGGGTGTCCATTTTAGATCTTGCGATATGGTAGGACCTAGAAATTTGAAGGTCTCTACTGTTGATACTGTGTTGTCTAGTATTGTGAGAGGTGGAAGTATGGGAGGGTTTCTCCTAAAGTCTACCACCATTTCTATGGTTTTGTGATTGTTCCGGTTGCACCATGAGGCTAATTGTTCAACCTCCCGTCTGTATGTGGATTCATCATTGTCTCGAATGAGACCGATAACTGCTGCAAACTTCAGTAGTTTAACAGGTGGATCGTTAGAGATGCAGTCGTTGGTATACAGAGAGAAGAGAAGTGGGGAGAGCAAACAGCGTTGGGGGGGCCCTGTGCTAATTGTGCAGGTATCTGATGCGATACTTTAGGAAGCCCAGTGTGGAGACCTGCCAGGGCAAGATCGCCCCTCCCCCCCCCCGCCCCCAATTTGTCTCATCCTCTGGGATCTGATGCTGGAGGGAAGAGAATGGCTGCACAGCAATAATCCCCGATCTTTTGGCTGAAGCCACTAAAAGTTTCCAGGCCGGTGGCTTTGCTGCCAGAGAAGAAGCCGAACCCCCCCTCCAGCTTTGGCTACCTTGTTCTCTTCTAGATGCTCTCATGGGGTTTCCCCAGATGTGCTCAACCCCCCCACCCCCGAAAGCAAAGCCCAGGGCATCTCCTTCCATGGGAAATAACGGGGCGGGACATTCTCCAGGAGACGACCCCCAGAAGGTGGTCCTGCCATGGCTGGAGGGTGGGCGAGCGAGGGGTCTCCAATGCCACTCTTCCCTCTTACAGCCCTGTGAAGGGAAGAGTCCGGAGGGCCTCCTGCTCTGGAGGATGATGACTCTGCCTCACTGGCTTGGGGGCAAAGACTCCCGATGGTTTCAGCCACCTCTGGAAATCCCCTGGCGCCTTCAACACCCCCAGGATTTCACGCCACAAATTTTCCACAGGAAATGGGTGACGGCGGAAGTGATGCGTTTTAGCCACAGATAAAGTTTCATCTCACATCTCCCCTGTTTTGAGGCGCGCTCTGAACAGGCAGTTCTGGAGTAGCAGCTCTTTCTTGTGCCGAGAATGAGGGTTTTGGGCCATCCAGGGACCCTGCTTGGACTCCTCTTGCTGCTGGTGGCCCCAGGCGAGCCGGCGACAGGCAGCCCCCAGGCAAAAGGTACTGGCCTCCTTGCCTGCTTCTCTCCATAGGGGTGTGGGAGGCCTCGCAGGGCTACCTTACAAGAGGACCCCTTCTCAGCCCAGCCCAGGTGGGAGGGAGCCCCGGCTGAGCACGGTGGAGGTAAGGGCCGCCGCTCTTTCTTCCTACAGTGGATTGCATTTGCCACAATGGCGATTACGTGATCTGCGACTGGGGCAGCCAACAGAAGCCTGTTCACAACTACTCTTTCTACTTCTGGTAGGCGCCCTCCGCCCTTTTCGCCCATGGGGCTGCTCCCCCCTTTCTCAGCTTCCCTCCCTCCTTCACCCTTTTGCCTCAAGGTAGAGCTGACCAGGTCCTCCCTCCGGCTCTCCCTCCCATGCCAGGGATGGGGCATTCATACCGCTGTTGAGCCGGGCCTCCCTCAGAATCGCTCCTCCTGCCAAAGGCCGTGGGCACCTTCTCATCCTCAAGCGGGCAGCAGCGCCTACCTGAAACCAAGCAGGCCAGGCAGGGCTGGTGAGAGGCCCTTAGGAAGTGGCAGGGTTGGAGAACGCCTGGAAGGTCTTTCGCGTTGCCCTTCGCTTCCCATCTGCCGATCGGAAAGGATGCAGCTTTCTCTCCTCTGCACAGGTTCGAGCTGCTCAGCAAGCCTTCAGAGTGCAAAGATTACATCCAGAAAGACGGGCTCAACGTGGCCTGCCACATCAGCAATTACGACCTCTTCAACTCCATGGGAATGCACCTCAATGACAGTCAGGGGCAGACTGTTGTCCATCAAGAGCTACGTCTGAGTAACAGAGGTAGGGATGAGCTCCTGCACGGGGAATTCAAAAGCAGCAGTCGGTAATTCAGGAGCGGAGAGGAGCAGCTTCCCCAGTGGAGCTCACTGTTGCGCTCACTACTTTGAGGAGTGGCCATTTCCTCCCTTGGCTCGCCCTCCGGCCGATCCCGGTTTCTGCTTCACCTGCTCATGAAGACGGCTGGGAAACGGGCAGCCGAGGGCTCCGGCGGTCCCAGAGGCTGCAGGTCACAAGGACACTTAGTTTCTCCGTTGTTTTTTGGGTGGCTGATTTTGTGGTGGGTCGTTTCCCCCCTCCCCATAACATGCAGTTTAAATTCCTTAAAAAAGGAAAAGATACCAATTCTTAGGAAGCCGGTGGGCTCTGTCGGCCTCTGACTCTGCTGTCCGCAGCTGGCCTGTGACCGACAGGGAGGCGGTTTGGCCTGTGGGGGAAGAGGCCGGTGGGTCAGGCTCCCTCTGAATTCTCTCTTAGTGAGACCTGGCAGGCCTTTTAACCTCACCTTGAGCAACCTGAGCAACCACCAGCTACTCCTGACCTGGAAAACCCCCTACGAAATTCCCGAATGTTTGGAACACCTTATCAGATACAAGAGCAACAAGGACACAGAGTTTATGGTAGGGATGTTGCCCTGGTGGACGTCTTAGTGGCTGGACTCACATCTGGTCACCGAGAAACCCACCGCATTAGGGCTGAGGGATGAACCCAGTCAGTCCCAAAGGGCATTGAACAGCTGTCTCCCTTTTTCCTTTGGAGCCCAGCCTCCCCCTGGCTTGTTTGTGTGCTTCTGTCCTGGTTAAAAGCTCCTCCTGTGCCAGCCAAAGCCCCCTGGCCTTCGGGCATCCATCCGGGAGACAAACTTTGGTGCTGGAGCTGGGCTTCCTCCCATTAGAGGCATGGCAGGATATGAATGTTTGCCTTGCTTTCCAGGAACACTCCATCGTAAATAGCCTGAAATTCCAAATTCCCAGCGTGGATCCTGAGAAGCGCTACACCTTCTACGTCAAGAGTAAACGGAACAATAATTGTGCAACCACAGATCTCTGGAGTGAGGAATCCGAGCCTGCCTTCTGGGGAAAAGGTGAGCGGGGAGGACAGGAAGGGGTTTCCACCTCCCAAGAGTCAAGAACGGGGAACAAGAAGAGCATCCAGCCTGCTCTGCTCCTGGGCACCTCTCCTGCCTCTGGAAGCAGCCGTGGGGAACCCTTCTCCTGGTCTACAGGCACCTCTTGTCCTTCAGTTGGGTGTGCGCAGCAGACTGAGGGCTACCCAATTCTCAACAACTCTCGTCAGCTCACAACAGTCAATTACAATGAACAAGATGAAAGAGGGCAAGCGTGATAAAGCGAGGGGTCTGGGTGAAGAAACCCTGATGGGTGGGATGTGGGTGGAACTGCCCAGCACAAAGGGCCGTAGAGCTCCTTCAAAACTTCAGTCCCTTCCACCTGTGTCTAACCCACCTGTTGACTGTTACAGAAGGCATAGAGGTCTGTGGCAATAGGCCAGGGGAGGGTTCTAAATTTTTTTACTACCGGTTCTGTGGGCGTGGCTTATTTTGTGGGTGTGGTTTGATGGTCATGTGACAATTATTTAGGATTTAGCAGAGGTACTGGTCTACCAGGCTTTTAACTGCTTGCAGAGCCATTCTGGCCTACCTGTTTGTTTTTGGAGTGCACTGGTCTACCACCACACTGCCTTTTACCGCTGATCAGCTGTAGGGCTGTCCTTTGAAGTGCCGAAGCAAGAGTTTAAACAGTTTTTTGCCACTCCGCCACCACCGAGAGCATTGGAAGCCGCTTTCAGGCAGCTTGGCCTCAATTGCCAGTCTACCACCACCGAGCGGTTGACAAGGAGCGGATCGGTTCTAGCCCATCAGTTGGGAGGCTTCTTGGCTTCTCAATTTAAAGCTAAGGTGTCTTGTTTTTTTTCTCTTCTTTGTCAAGTGAGCCCTGATTTTTTCCTTCTAGCCGATCAGCTGGGACTCGGAAGGCAGAGAATAGATGGGGGCGGGGCCAGGCAGAGGTGGTATTTACCAGTTCTCCAAACTACTCAAAATTTCCGCTACCGGTTCGCAAGAACCAGGGAGAACCGGTAGCAACCCACCACTGCAATAGGCTATCTGAAATGCCATCACAGGGGAGCATCACTCCCAGGGGAGCCAAACTCAAATGGGGAATACACAAGTCCTGGCTGGGTTTTTCCTCCCCTCCATGGGCACAGTGCTGCTGGGTCCCAGCTGCCCCACTCTTGGAAATTTTGGACTGTCTTGGACAGGTGGTTGGACAGTCAAAAGTTTGTCAAACTTCGGGTGATGTGGGAGAACGCCTGATCTTCACTCTGGCAGAGGAGCTCCAGGAGAAGATAATCTGTTTGCTTTGCCGCGAGTCTGTGGCGATGGAACACCTTCCTGGCTACAGATGGAGAGATGGAGGCAGCCGAGCTGCTTCTCTGAGACCCTCACCTGGCTTCCTCCTTTGCAGAAGATATGTCCCCCCCTTTGCTGGCTTCAATAAAGACCATTGTGATTCCGTTGGGCTCCTTCCTCATTCTGATACTGCTGCTCCTGGCCTTGCTGCGGATGGAGAGGTGAGCAGGGCTGTGGGGGAGGGGCTTCCAGGTTGGAACTGTAGGGGGGGGAATCGAGGCGTCTTGCCCCAGAGCCCTGGAGAGAGGGAGGGAGAGAGAGAGAGAGAAATGTCCCTGTTCTCCCCCTCCTCTTACTCCTCTCACTCTGGTGGGCTCCTTGAGGCAGGGCTGTAGGTAAAACGCCTCTGGGCCCCATCCCATCTCCTCACCAACAGAGTGTGGGTGGTCCTGATGCCCAGAATCCCGAACCCCAGCAAGAAGTTTGAGGATCTCTTCACTGCGTATCAAGGCAATTTCTCAGTAAGTCCAGCAAAGCTTACGGGACATGACTCGGCTTCAGCCTCCCAGAAAAATCCAGGTGATTTTCTGCCGGAGAAGGCGGCCTAGGAGGGCCACCGCAGCTCAGGCTGGGCTCCGCTCGTCTGCAGAGGGCCTCAGTCCAGGAAGGAAACCAGGCGCCTGGGGAGAGAAGGGCCTCTGTCTTAGCTTTGGGGTGGGGGGTGGGGAAGGCGGGTGTCTTTCCAACCTGTCCTTTCTCTGTCAGGAATGGGCTGGAGTCTCCAAAGACGACGTGGAGACCTTCAAGCCCAACTATTATGAGGACATCTGCGCCATCACGGAGCTGCTGCCCAGCGGGGGCTACCTGTCTGCAAGCAGCGAGCCCACAGCCAAGAGCGGGGGGCCGCCTGACCCATTGCCAGACCCTCCTCCCAAGACCAGCCCAGATCCTGCAGCGCTCACCACCTGAGTTTGCACAGGGAGCCCGCGTGGAGGGAGGGAGCCCTGCCTCCAGGGCCCCAAAGGGCCCCCCCCACCTGCTTGTAATGGGATGGAAGAGAATTCTGTCAGGAAAGGAATAGCACAAGCTGGCCCTGCTGAAAGAATGTCCTGCAAGCGCCTAAGCTGACCTCTGGCCGAGCTTTTCCCTTCTACATGGGCATCCCTGTAGTGCCCATTGCCTCCACCTCCCGCGTCTTACGGGGCCGGTATTCTTCTGCAGGGAGGTGGGGGGGGGTGTCTGGCGTTGGATTTTTCTTCAGCCATGTCATCCCACCCAGGCGGCCTTGACTTCCCACTGACTACTCCTGCTTTCTTGCTGCTGACTGAGAGGGTGCGTGTCCTGTACTGGAATAAAAAGGCCCTCGGCCATTCCGTCCCTTGCCTCCTTCGTCTGTGCCTCCCAGGGGTCCCGTTGGATCCCAACCCCTGGCAACCTGGGTCCTAATTCGATGGTTGAGCTGTTGCATCCCAAGGCCCTGGTCACTTCGCTGCTTCTGCGCCCCAAATTCTTAATTACCGGATTCCCATCGATATTCGTGCTGCTCTCAAAGCTAAAGCCCTGGAACGCGTCTTCATTAAAGGTGCTGACCTGATTTTGCTGGCTTGGTTATTATTTACTGAGTCAACTACAATTGGTACCATTTGCCCAACACACCTGGTTTATAAACTGCAGCGGTTTGGCTCAGCTCCCCATCAAACCAGCCAAACCGTATGATGGCTTAGCTAATGCAATGCAGGAACCGACCTATTGTGGCTGATTCCGCAAACTATGATTGAGGAAACCACGGTCAGGGTGCCATGCCTGCCCGCTTGCCTCACAGAGCTGTTCATTATGACATGTCACAATAGGCTGCCCAACTCCGAGGAACTTGCCAGCCATGCCCGAGACAGCTGGGTATGTTCATCATCATCAAGCATGGAGGTAAGGAAAGGTGAACCGAGGAGGACCACGGAGTGGACAGGCGGGAGGGAGGGCTTGGGCCCCTTTATCAAACTAGAGGGGAAGCTGAGGCAGGGTCTCTTGGGACTCCTCAGGGCCAGGAGCAGACCTCCAATGTGTGCCCCTCCTCCCAGAAACTGGGCGTTCACAGGGACAGACAGGTATTGTCATGGCAGGTGCAACCCCACTTCATGCTCCTTTTAAAGGCGTCTTTTATTAGGCACACAATCCTCACTCATCCAGAATTAAGGTGTTTGTTGTTCCAAAGACGAGGCAGAAGGTTAATTATACGGACAAATAAACTTTGGGGCCCAAGTCAGTTGAAGCAACCCTGAGTGATGGCTGTCCCATCTTGGATGCATCCAGCCAAGGGAAAGCGCCCGCGGGCCCTTATGCCAATGCCAGAAGAGTCAGACCACGAAGAAGCCTGGACCAGGGACGCCCGAGATTCAGGAACCAAGCCCTGAGGCCTCCAGGGCAGCTTTGGAGTCCCTCGGAAGGATTGAGAAGGGCAACAGCCAGAAGGGAAAGCTGCTCCTTCTCCCTCTCCAGCCGCGTATCCTTGCCTCTTCGGCCTTCCTCTTCCTCGTGAGGGAGGCTCAGGTGGTCAGTCAGGCCCAGAGCTGTTGATGTTTCCCAGGGCAGGACAGTAGAAGCCACCCTTCTGCAGTGGGAAAGCGTGGCATTGCTCAGTGGTGACCACGGCTCCTCTCCTTTCAGACAACCGGCAATTCCTGGCTAATATCAATTGCTCCGTTTTGCTTCTAACCCATTACCTGCGTGATAAGGTGGGATTGCACAGGACAGGTGAGAAGGACCTGGGCTTCCCAGGGCTAAGGCAGGGAAATGTCCCCATCATTGGGAGACTGGCCAGGAAGTGGGTCAGGAGGGAGCGTGGCTGGTGGTCAGGCTTGGTGGGTACTGGACTGGCATGTGCCGTGTCATGCATGGTGATTGTCTCAGGGCATTGGCTCCTCGTCTGGAAGGACAATGGTCTCCACCACCAGTTGGGAAGAGAGGGATTCTGGAAGGAAGGGCCCTAGCTTTTGGATAAGAGTGCTGGGCTTTGAGGTGGGCCAGGAAGAGGATGACTTCAGAAATGGAGAGGAAGTGACATGGCTTTGGGCCTGCTAGAACAATCATGTTGAGGTGTGGATTCTGGCCAGATGAAAGTCTGAGTCCCGCAGCCAGGTGGGCCCTCTGTGCACACAACCTTGCTCATTTGCTCACCCAGTTTGGGTAGCTAACGTTAAAAGCAACAGAAGAATACATCAGTAATGAGAATAAACCAATAGAGACACACAGAACACCCGTAGCACAATAATCCACAAGTGAAAATTCATTGAAGTTTCTGGCCTGGTCCCCAAGGGGCAGCTCCTTCAGGATCATCAATTTACTCCTGAATCCAACACTTGAATCAACCCGTAGACGAAGGGGCTGCATGGCTTCCTTCTGCTGGGCAAAATGATCAGGTCATCCTGGAGGTGAGGATGAGGCACAGGGCCCTTCTCCTGCGAAGCTGAAACCCTGAAGCATCTAAGGAAGGATGGTTGAGGGGCAAAGTCATTCATTCTTTGGGGGGGGGGGGGGAAATCCTGCTTCCCGACTTCTGCAGTTCCTTCTCAGACTCCATCGACTTGTGTGAAGAGAACGGCACCCTGAAGCTGATTTTTCTGGTCAAGTTCCCAGAAGACAACGCCAGCAAGTTCCTCACTGCACGGGGGACCTACTACGTTTGCAAAGTGGAGCGTGGCGCCACAGGTGGGTGGGTAGATGGGTGCAGGGAACAGCCCACCCCAGAGCCTCAGTCCTGCTTGTGTTCCAAACATTTTGGAAAGTCAGTCAGAGGTGGATGCTCCATATCTCCCTGGGGTCTTCTCCGCAATTACCTTCTCCGCTTCCACCTGCTGCCTGTCTCAGTCCACAGTGGAGGTCTCTTCCCTTGTTAGTAGGCCATTAATTGGGGACTGGGCCCAAGGGGGGCTCTGCATGTTAGCCAGATGCTTTATGTCACAATTTGGGGGCTGATGTTTGGACCATGTCCGATTGCCACTTGCACCATCTCAGTGTTGGGCATTGATACCCAGCCATTGTGCCCTGGCATCTTTGCAGGCCAAAGCACCCACCACTCATCTCCCAAGGCTTTGCCAGGATTACAGCAACTAAGGTGGGCTTCTCTTCTCCTTCACTCCAGGGACCAAAAATGAACACAGCTATCGAGCCTTCCAGCCTCTCATCAAATCTCCTCCACAGGATTTGCTGGGTAGGGAACCTTGGCCCAGGGTGGGTCTCCGGAAGCGTTTTCCTTCCAAAGAGACACCCTCGGGAGTGGGTGGGAGGGTGGGAAGAACTGGGCAGAGGTGCCAGGTGAGGAAGAAGGGGAGGGGTCTCACCAACATGAGCCTGACAGATCTTCCCCCCCCCCCAAATGAAGGGGAGGCACTGCTGCTACCCCTGATATTGGCACCCAATGAAGGAGTGGCAACTGGGCTGGTTTGGGGTTGCCAGAAGGGGGAAAGAGGTGGCAGCTCTGGATCCAAGGGGCATCTGTGAAGTTTTAGAGAGAGACCTTGGATTGTGGGTGTGTGTGGGGGGGGAGTAAGTGGGAGCCATGCCCTCTGGGCTTCCTTCCTCTCCTCCCAGCCCCCCTGAATTATGGAGGATCAGAATGATCTGCCTGGCAAACAGTTACTATTTCTACTAATGATGCAACAGCTTATTAACTGGAACTGCTACCTGATCCTGGTCACCTCTGCCCAGTGGTGAAATCCAATTTTTTTTACTACCGGTTCTATGGGCATAGCTTGGTGGGCGTGGCAGAGGAAGTATACTGCAAAATCTCCATTCCCTCCCCACCCCAGGGGAAGGATATTGCAAAATCTCCATTCCCACCCCACTCTGGGGCCAGCCAGAGGTGGCATTTGCCGGTTCTCCAAACTGCTCAAAATTTCCACTACTGGTTCTCCAGAACCTGTCAGAACCTGCTGGATTTCACCCCTGCCTCCCCTGGCAATGCCAGAAGAACCACAGAGCCTCTCCTCTCCCTTAGATACCCTTCGAAACCAGTGTGAGTTCCTTGAAAAAAGCCGCCTGAAGATACTCAAGAACCAGGATGGGAAGAAGCCCCCAACCATGGAAGCTCTCCTGTCCTACATGGCCAATCAGGTGGTGGTAAGGCTCCCCTCTTGTTCTCAGCCAGACCCCTGGATCCAGTGATGAAATCCAAATTATTTTACTACCAGTTCTGTGGGCGTGGCTTGGTGGGCGTGGCAGGGGAAGAATATTGCAAAATCCCCATTCCCACCCCACTCTGAGGGCAGCCAGAGGTGGTATTTGCTGGTTTTCCGAACTGCTCAAAATTTCCACTACCGGTTCTCCAGAACCTGTCAGAACCTGCTGGATTTCACCCCTGCCTGGTTCCCCTTAGCGAGATGGATCCAGGATTCACCTCCCTCTGCTTTCCTTCCTTCCTCTGCTCTGCTGAACATTGGACAGGCATTTGTCTGAAACGGGGTAGGGTCTCCTGAGCAGTGGGACAGCTCTGGACACCACACTGCCCCAACCCCCCACTGCCCTCCTCCTAACTGGAAGCCCCAGTGATCTGTGCTACCTCCCCAGGGCCGGATTTTCCTATAGGCTAACTAGGCTTCAGCCTAGGGCCTCAAGATCAAGAGGGGCCTACATTCAAATTGTTAGCAAAATTAAAATTACACTTTCGCTATAGGTGAAAGGGCCTCATAAGTGGAATAGCCTAGGGCCTCTTTTCCTCTAAATCCGGCCCTGTGCCTCCCCCTCCAGGCAAAAAGCTCTGGGAAGTCCGGAGGGAGCATGGCCAGCGGTCTAGACGAGGAGGGATTGCCGCGCAAAACGGCCGCTGCCACCAAGGCGAGACTGGAGGCCATCCGGAAGGAGAAGGAAAAGCATCGCTGACCCTGGAAAGAGACCCCGGGGAAGCTCCAACCGCCGCCCCTCCACGGGGCTGACTTGGCGCCCCAATAAAAGTGCCCGTGGCCCTGAGTCCCCAGCCCCCTTTCCATCAGCCGGCCTCGCTTCCAGCTGCATTGTCTGCCGGTCTGGTTCACATTCGGGACGAGTGATGAGGATGATGCGGTCCTTTCGAGGCTGATGTCACCAGGGAGGCTCCTGATTGGAGGCTCTGAAGAGAAGCTGCAGCAGAAACGGGATTTGCCAGCCCCGGCTCCAGAAACAGTGCGGGGGTGGTGGGGTGTGGGGGCAAGGTGGACATTAGCGGGCGGCTGGCTTCTTGCCCTGAGGGTTGCCCCGGCTGCTTTGGCTCAGCCGCAGAGGGCCAAGGGGAAGGCCTCCTGGAACGGCCCCAGCCTCCACGGCTACGAGCCGTGAGCTTTGTGTAGCCCCTGGAAACTTGGCAAAGCCAGCGGGGCACCCGAGGGGCGTTTGTCTCTCCTGGAAGCCAATGGCTAGGAAAAGTAGAGGCGGAAGAGGGCACCCCAGAGGGCAAGGAAGGACCTTTGGAGGTACATTTTTAAAAAATCTGAATGGAAAGGAGCCTTTGAAGTGTTCAAACACCGGCGCTCCCTTTTGGGGGTCTCCCCTGCGCGTGGAGGGCAGGACAACGCCGGAGCGCTTGGGTGGGCCTGGGGAGGCACGTCCGGCCTTCCTTCCAGGGGGACGCAGGGGCAGGGAAACGCTTAGGGGTCCCCTGCTCTAGTCACTGCTCTGGCATCAAAAGGCGAGGAAGCCGCCTTAATCCTTGCCCACATTTTGCACAGCCACAAAAGCTGCTAAGGGGGGTTGGCAAAAGAGACTTGCATGGGGGTGCCCTGCTTTGCACAGGCCGGCCACTAGCTGGGCCGGGCACGAGCAGATCCCGGGCCGGCCTCGATTCCTCGGTGCAACCCGGCTTGGATGGACCTTTCAGGCCGGCGCTCACGCAGATAACTGGGCGATTCCCCATAAATGAACGGGGCGCTTCAGATAAATCCTGAGTGGAAGTTTAGAATGGTCCAGATGTGGGGGCTCAGCCTGCCCTGGTTAGGTGGCCGTGACCAACCAGCCGCGCATTACTCACTTGGCCATCTTCGCTGCAACCCCCAAGAAAAGGGAGGGAAAGGGCTGGCTGGAGAGCCCGAAGGGTTTCCAGCCACATTATGGGGGGCTTCAGTCGAGCCTTTCTTCAGCCGGACCGACCTCCGCGCGAAAACAGGACGCGGCTCCTTTAAGAGCTGTCAAGGGACACCACGCTGGATCATCGGCCACGCCCCTTTGCTCTCAGGGGGCGGGGCCCGGGCGCTTGACGGGCAGGGAATTTTCCACTCGGCCCCCCATGGCCCCGCCCTCCGCCGGCACCCGGCCCCGCCCCCCGCCCGCGATTGGCCGGCAGACCAACCGGCCCCGCCCCCGCTGCGGTGTATGAACGGGGCCGGGCGGTGGGCACGCCCCCTCGCGCCCCGACTCCGGCTGGGCTGCCCGCGCCTCCAGCCTCCCCTCGGCGGCGGCGGCGGCGAAAATGATCCTCTGCCCGCCGAGCGCGGAGCCCCCCCGCGGAAAGCCGTGCCAGAGGCTGCAGGTAAAGGAGCCCCCGCAGACCCCGCCGCGGCAGCCCTGCAGCGCCCGGAGAGCTCCGGCCGGAGGCGATCGGTGCCCGCGGTGGCGGAGGCAGCCTCGCCCGCGTCGTCCTGCCCGGGCGGCGGAGGCGGGGATGCCGGCGCTGCCAGCCCGAACCGCCGCTGGACCGACCGCCCCCCCCGCGCTGCCAATCAAACTTGTTTTTCTCGTTCTCCTTCTGCGGTTCGGCGGTCGCGCCGCCAGGGGGCGCTGCGGCTCGCCGGCTGCCGCATCTGGGACCGGCCGGGAGAGACAATGGACCGGGACCGCGGGGGGGGGGGGGGGGAGGGGAGCGGTCCAGCTATTGCCGCCGCCGCCGCCGCCTTGGCTGCTCCGTGGGCAGGGGGCGTGTTCCTCCAGGTCCCTCCGGTTCGACGGGCGGAGGGGCGCTGCTTCCTGTTTTGGGGAGGGGGCGAGGGTCGCTTTCCCTCGCCCCTCCCGGGCCTTGTCCCGCTTCCCCGGGCCCGCCTCTTTGTCTGCCTCCCCTGCGGCGCTGTGGGCGATGGGGCTGTTCGGGATGCGGCTCTCGGGTTCATCCCCCCCCCCCTTTGACCCTGAAGAGTGCCAGTTGCAGAGGTGGGCAGGAGAGCAGCCTCTGCCCCCCCCCCCCACAAATCCGCCTCTTTCCAAATGCTTGTGAGTGCCCATCCTGAAAGGAGGAGAGAGGCTCCTTAGGGGCTCCCGGGGGCTTCTCAATGGTGGAGCCTCCCCCCCCCCCCCCTCCCTTCCCCCCCCGGCTGGCACTACAATGGTGCCTCTGCTTTTGCTTGGGGAGGGGGCCTGGAGATGGGGTTTCCCCACTGCCTCCCCTGACCACCTCCGTCTTTGCAAAGACGCCCAGGGCTGAGGCCGGACGGGACCCTTGGCAGGTCTGGGGGAGCTCCTCAGTTATGGGGAGGGACGCTTCTTGGGGTTCCCCTCCCCTTTTCTGAGGCTGCTTTAATTTCAGCTCTGGGGTCTTCCTGGAAAAGGCAGCTTGGTTGGCCTGTGGCAGGGAAGAGTTCCCCACTCCCTCTCCCTCTCCCCCCAGGTGGTTGGGCCCCGGGATGGTCCCTGTCTCTTTGGGTGTTCCTGGATGGATCCTGGGTGCTCTTGAGGCCACCCTGGAGGTTACACTGGGTCCGGAGGAGGCTTGCTCTTCTCCTGTACAGGCTGTTTTCTTGGGCCGGGGGTTCTGGGCCTGGCCCCTGCCTGGAAGGGGGATGTGGAGCCTAGAGACCCCTTGCTTTCTTTGAGCTGCTCCCTCCTTCCAGGGGCCACTTCTGCTCCCACGAGCCCCCTTGCTTTCCTGGTGGGGCTGGCCGGGGGGAGAGAGGAGTGACTGCCTCTGAGGCCCACCTGGGGAAGGGGATTCAGCCGCAGATTTGGCAAAGGGCAACGTTTCCTCTGGATCTGTCTTGAGGGTGGGCTTTAAAAAATCTCAATTTTGGGGTTGTTTTTTGAAGGCAGGGCAGGGAGAAGCTTCCATCATGCGAAGAGGGCAGAGACCATGACTAGTGAAATTCACCTCTGCTGACAAGAGGCTTACCTGGGATTTTAAAACGCAGGTGGAGAGCTGCCTGTCTCCCACCAAAGCAGGCGTAAGAACTTAGTGCAAAGCCTGACTGTACCGGCTGCATGTCCTGCTTTCCCTCGGCTCCAGATGTGACTCCCCACCCCCACCCCCACGATCTCCTGGCCAAAAATATACCTGGAGCAGAAAGGCGCAGCCCCCGCCCTGCTCTGCCCAGCCAGGTGTTTCTTCCCTGCCCTTGGGTGGCCTCAGGTGCTTTTGGTACTCAAGGAGGGGGGGACTTTGTGAATTGCGGAGACTGGCTCTTCTTCTAGCGCTCCCCCGCTGACTGCCCAATGCCGAGTTTGCCCCACGGTCTGCTTTTCCGCCCTTCCCTGTCCAGCTGGCCAAGATGACCACCAGCGACAAGGACAGGCCCCCCCCGCTGCTCTTTGTGAAGGCCTTGGCCAGCAGGGGCCGGATCGAGGCCGTCACCCAGCAGATGGGCTACCACCCGCATTACCTGGACAGCTTCCTCCGCATGCAACACTACCTGCTGCACATGGACGGGCCGCTGCCCTTCGACTGTCGCCACTTCATCGCCATCATGGTGAGAGGGGGAGAGAGAGAGAGCCCTGTGCACCTGGACCGCGGGGGGCCCTCCCGGCGAGCGGCTGCTTGTGGCACTGCCAGAGCCTGCTGGCCTTGGGGTGTGTGTGTGTGAGGTCGCCTGCTTGCCACTCCGTCTGCTTGCTTCACTGCTGAGCCCCCCGCTCCGCCAGCCCCCGTCCCCTTCTTGACCCCCTTGCCACTCAAAACAGAACAAGGGCTGTGTGGGAGCTGCAGCTGCTGTGTGAAGTCACAAAGTCCATCCTTCTCAAGGGGAGAGACCGGCCCTTGTCCCCTGCGGGACCCCGGAAGAGAACCTGCAGAGTCTTCCCCCACCCCCAAAGCAGAAGGGGTGTGTGTCTGATGGAGACTGTGCCAGGCAGGGATCGGGAGGAGGGGGACGATTCTCTGGGTTGGGAGCCCTGGGTGGGTCTCTGTCTTGGGGGGGGGGGTGTCTTCCCCACTGATCTGAGCGCCCTGCATGGCTCTTGCAGGCAGCTGCCCGGCATCGGTGTCACTACCTGGTGAACCTTCATGTGCTGCAGTTCCTGCGGGTGGGCGGAGACCCCCTGTGGCTGAGAGGGCTGGACTGCATCCCCCCCAAACTCCGCCGGCTCAGTGAGATCAACAAGGTCCTGGCCCACCGGCCCTGGCTTGTCTGCAAGGAGCATATTGAGGTAGTAGATCGGATTTGAGGAGGGGGCACACTTGGGGCCCTGGGAGGGGAGGGGGCAGCGTTTCTCTCCCCTGTGGCAGTTTGGATGCTGCTGGGGTCACCAAGCCTGTCCCCCCGCATGGTATAGCTGATGGGTGGGAGGAGCACACGTAGCACCCCTCTCCCACCCCATCGGTGACCTGCAAAGGACCCCCTCCCACACCTCAAATCCTTCCATCCCAAAAGGCTCCCTTGGGGTTGGCACACGCTTTAAGAATGCCTGAACTGGTCCTCCCTCCCCCCCCATCAAAAAACACCTGTGGAGTAAGTAAGGAGGGGAAATGTAATGTTTCAGTGATAGAGTTTCTGCCCAGGAGCTCCTACCGGAAGCCCCTGGGGCAGTGGTCCCCTGGCAGGAGCTCCTGGCATCCATGGCCCATCGGGAGATGCAGTTGAGGGTCTTCCTTGTGTCTGGGGGGGTGGGGGGGAACAGGCCTAGGCCTGGGCTGAAGTTGCAAGCCATGATTTTGGAAGGCAGCGTTCCTTCCTGGTTTCTGATTGCTTGGTTCCCCCAAGAAGAGCCTCTTTGGCAACTGGCGCTCTGCTTGGGTGATGCCGCTTGGGGCCACTTGCGCAAGCATGAGGGGGAGTGGGTGGCTCGTGGGGGGGGAGTCACAGCTTGCTTCTTTTCTGCCCCCACTCCCTCCAGAAGCTGCTGAAGATCAGTGAGCAGAGCTGGTCGCTGGCAGAGCTGGTCCATGCCGTTGTGCTCCTCGCCCACTACCATGCCCTGGCCAGCTTTGCTTTCGGCTGTGGCTGTGAGCAGGACCTTGGCCCGGAGGGACGGGGCTCCCTGAAGCTGGGCCTCCCGGGGAGCGTCTGCTTTTGTGACGTGGGCAACGGCTGCAGCCAGGAGCTGCTGCATTTGAACCGCAAGCGGGTGCGTGCCTCGGCTCCCTGGGGGGCATGGGCGGCGCGGGTGTAGGGTACCAGGCCCCAGTTTCAGGGCATGGCGGAGTGCCCTTTCTAGACCCAGAGGAAGGACCCCCTCAGTCGCGTTCCTCCCCCTCTGCAGTCCTTGGATTCCTGCGTGGAGCTGGAGTCTCTTCGGGAGCGTGTCCACCGGCTGCAGGTGGGCAGTGAGGCCCGAGAGGAGCTGAGGCTGCCTGCCCAGCGGGAAGAAGGTAAGGCCGCCTGCCAGCCTCCCTGGAGGAGAGGCTGTGGAGGGCCTTGCCCGGAGCGTCCTGGCAGGGTTGGGAAGGGCACTGAGTCCCGGTGCTGATGGCCAGGCAGGGGCCCTTGAGAGCAGCTGGGACGCCATCTCTCCTCCTGCTTGCGTGCAGGCCTCCCTTCTGCCTCCTCTCCGGGAAAGCCCCTTTGCTGAATGGGTCTGTCTTCTAGGCTTCGATGGGGAATTCTTGGGGGCCGCAGACCTTTCCTGCTACGTCCTGGATCCCAGCTTCGGCTACCAGGAGTTTGCACAGTGCAACGAGGACCAGCCCCAAATCTTCCGTGTTCAGGTGGGACAAACCTGGCAGTGCCGGGGATCTTGGCTGGCCGCCTGCCTCCCCCTTGCCTGGGGGGTGGGGCTGCTGACCTTGGCCCCCTTTAGCGTTCCCTCATCGAGCCATCCTCTTTCTGATCCGGGCAGGATTATTCCTGGGAAGACCACGGCTTCTCGCTGGTGAATCGGTTGTACTCCGACATCGGGTACCTGCTGGACGAAAAGTTCCGTAAGGTGGACGGCCTTCACAGCTGCTCGATGGCCAAGCGGCAGGGCTGCGAACACGCCAGCTTCAAGCGGGGCATCTGGAACTACGTCCACTGCATGTTTGGCATCAGGTGCTGCTCCTCCCCTTCTGGGACCCTCTTGCAGGGCCAAAGCAGCGCAGCTGACTCAGGGAAGGAGCGCGGCTTTAGATGAAGAACCGTTGGGTGGCTGAATGGAGACGGGGATCTTGGGCAGAATTCCCTCCCTTTGATCTTTGTCAGCGTTTTGCTCTTGCCTTTTAAAAATTGGCCGGAGAATTCCCGTCAGCCAGGACTTCCTGCCCATCAGCCTTGTTCAAGATGAATGGGGGATCTGTTTTGGTGCTAAGTTCCCTCTCCCCTTCCAGATACGATGATTATGACTATGCAGAGGTCAACCATCTCCTGGAACGGATCCTCAAGCTGTACATCAAAACTGTGACTTGTTCTCCAGAGAAGATGGATCCCCAGATGTTTGAGCGCTTCTGGAAGCAGTTCAAGCACAGTGAAAAGGTGAGTTGTGTATGTGGAGCAGAGGGGAGAAAGGAGGAAATCCTGGCCGGGCAGGAACCCACAATCCTCCAGTCAATTTCGATTGGGGTGGGGGTGGGGGGGGACAGAGACGACACAGACGAGTCCTTTGTGCAAAGCACACTTACGTGGCTGTGGTTGGCAGCATGGATGACGGGGGATCAGTGGTGGGAGAAGCTTCTCCAGGGCTGCTGAGGCTGCATTTGAGGGCTCCCCTTCTGGGCACGTTTTCCAGCAGCAGAACTTTCTTGGGAGATTTTGGCCTCATCCTTTTTTAAAGCAGTTCAAACATACCCTTTGCTCCACCACCCCCCCGGCACTCATTGTGTGCTGGTGCTTCTGCCCATTTTAGGGGGCTGCCCTGCCCGTCTTCCACTCAACCAAGCCGTGGTGGGACTCCGGAGCTTCTCAGGCCTGACCTCTGGGTGGTGCGGGAGGGCCTCGGGCGTCTTGAGGCTGGGCTCGATCTCCTCTTTGCCCCCAACAGGTCCACGTGAATCTGCTGATCCTGGAGGCCCGGCTGCAGGCAGAGCTGCTCTATGCCCTCCGTGCCATCACGCACTACATGGTCTCCTAGGCCACGGGGCCCACCTGGACTCGGGCTCCTGGGCTCCGGCAGTGGCCCCTCCCCGTGTTTACTTGATACCTTCTCCTTTCCCTTCAAGATGTGAAAAGCAGGGTCTTCCCTCCGGGCGAAAACAGGCCTGCCCGCTGAAGCCACAGGGCTGGTGGGCAGCTGCCTGTGCTTCTGCTCATCTACAGGCCAAGAGCCTCGTGGACAGAAGGGAGCCACAGGGACGTGGCTTCTATGGACTTGAGGTGTGGGAAGGACGTCATTCCTCTTTCTTTCCCAGTCAACTCTAGCGACGATGTTTAGTCTCCGTTACAGTATTGGGGAGGGGGCTCCCTTGTCTCGTGCCATTCCTGCTGCTCATCGAGTACACCCAGCCGTCCTGGGATGGCTGGGAAGGGGTCTGCCATCTTGGACTGGGGTTTCTGGAGAGAGAAGAGGGGTGCTTTCTGCTGGCTTCATCTTGCACTGGGAGTGGGGGAAGGGCAACAGGAGGGAAGGGTCCCTAGCACTTCTAGTGACAGCTCACCCTCAACCTTTCATCCAAATGGTCCTCGGAAGCCAAATTTGCCAGGCAGGGCTCTTATCCTGTCCCCCCTCCTCATATCCAAAGCCCCCCCCCTTGCAAATGTGCTGTCCTCCCTCACGGCTGCCTTCCATGCTGTGGCCCTTGGCTGACACCCCCTCTCTTGCCCCTTGCGCTTCCCTGCCCCACGGTGCAGATACCCAGCCTGCCTCGGCTTTTCTCCTGGCACTCCCCCCTCCTGTGGCTGCTCAGGGGGTCCTGCTTCTCTTGCTCCAAGGAGTGAGTTTGGGTGCTGGGCAGGCTCTCGTTGAAAGGGCCAGGCTGCTGCAAGACGTCCGCCAGGTAGACGGTGGAAGAACTTTGCAACCGGAGGGGGGGGTGTCGATGGCTAACAAGGGGGGCAACTGGCAAAGGAGGCTGGGGGGAGGGGGCACCTGGCGCAGGACATGTGGCAGCAGCTGACTTGTTTACTGTGTAAATGTTTTGGGGGGTGGGAACAAACCATTGTGTGGGGAAGAGAGAAATGCCTATTTTTGCTATAAATATAAATGTTTGACAAAATGCCTGGCCTGATTTCTTCTATGGGGGAGAGGGGGGGAGGGGAGGGGAGGGTGGAAGGCAGCTAAGTGTCTTGGGGGGCCCAGTAGCCCTTTAGGAGCTGCAGCAGAACCCCCAAAGCACCTGATTGGCTCACAGTGAACCTCCTAAGTGTTTGGCCCTTTGGTGTTCATTTAAATGTAGGACTTTGGAGTGGTTTAATTTTGGGGGGGGGCTCTGAAGGAGAGGCCTCTTCTGCACCCCACCTGTGATTGCTTCCTGCTCCTGCATGGAATGAGTGGCTGTTTCTTTCCAGGGAGGGAATCTTCTGCTGTGCCCAGTGAGGAGTGGGCCGGCCGTCCAGAGCCCCTTTGGGGGGAGGCCTTCTGCTGTTTGGAAACAGGGACTTGCTGGGGACTGAGGGGGGAGCTTTGCCAGCCTCCCACAATGGACTTCTGATGGAGCCGCTGTCCCAGGCTGCTTTCTCTTCTCCTGGACAGAAAACAAACCTCTGAGTTTTCTATTCTCAATATGTGAGGAGGGGGCGTCAGTGAGGGCAGAAGAGCCCCACAGACATCACTTCCCCCCCTATGATGGAGGCATCTCGCCCCTCAGGCGGATTATTTCCTGGGAAGTATTCCCCTTTTCGCTGGGAGGTGACTGAAGAGTCCCCATTTGAGGGGGGAGGGGGGCGTCCTCTGAACACCCGCAAACGGCCGGGAAGTTGAGTCCAAGTTCAGCTGAGGCGTTCGGGGGGGGGGGACCTGCCATTCAAACTTTCTAAGCGACGAAAGCGTCTCAGGGAACCTTCAGCTCTGGAAACGGTGCCCCTGGGAGCCACAGAGCTGCCTTTCGGCTGCGCAGCTTCCCTCTAAAAGGCGTCCTCACGGACAGCCCCGACCCGTGTCTCCGCCCGCGCTGAGACACGTGAGGAATGCTGGCAAGCCAGCTGTTGATCCCAGGGGAGGGGCGGGGGCGGGGCCGAGGGCTGGAGCCGGGAGACCTGAAGGGAAAAGTTTGGGCGACCCTCCCGGGGGGGCCCAGAGACCCCTCGCCTCCCGCGGGGCTTCGGGGGGCTTTGGGTGTCAGGTCCCCCCCGGGCCTGTTGTCACCCGCGGCCCGACTGCGGCGTTTCTAGTCCTCAGGCTCGAGAGGGGGAGCGGTTGCCGAGCGCCTGGATCCCGCTTCCCGGTCGGCCAGCGGCCAGTCCGCCCGCTCAGAAAGTTGGAGGCGGCCCCTTCGCCGCCGCTCTTCCCGCCCTTCCTCCGGCCAGCCCTCGCCCCCCGCCCGCCCTCCTCCTCCGGGGGACGCGCAGCCCGGCCCGATGAGCAGCCGCCAGGGTAAGGGGCGCCGGCCTGGGGGGAGGGGCGGGGGGCTGAGTCCCGCGGGACCAGCGCGATCCGGGGCTGCTCGGGAGGAGCTTCTGGGCCGCTGGGACCCCCTCCCCTCCCCTCCCCTCCCCTCCCTTGCGGGGGCCCCAGAAGCAGCGGCCTTTCCGGGCGCGGGACTCGGACCGGCCGGGCAGGAACTTTCTCCTCTTTGCCGGAGGGGGGAGGGGACTTCCAAGCAGGCGTTCCGGAGGCGCTCCAGGCAGCAACCGGAGCTTCGCGAGCGGGGCTGGGAGGGGAGTCGGAGCCCTGGCGATCCCATCTCCCGGGAGATGCCGCCCGTGTGGCCCGCCACCGCTCCTTTCCCCCCGAGATTGGCCCTGCTAGAGGGTCTGCAGTCAGCTCCCCCCCCCCAGGCTGTAGGAAAGTTGTGCTTCTAGTCCTTATGAATTGCACCCTTTCTTTTCAAAAGCTTATTACCTTTTCCTTCGGCCCCGGGATGCCTTCTGACTTTGAGCCCTGAAGGTGGTCCTGAGCCAAGAGTGTCTCCAAGGGATGGACCTGAAATAGAAAACACCTGGCTACCTATTTCCCTGAATTGTTTGGGGGCCCATTTACAGAGCACCCAGCCTAGGGCGCATTGCTGGGAGGTGCACAGAGAACATCTAGGGCAGCGGTCACCAACCGGTGGTCCATGGACCACTGGTGGTCTGTGAGAAAATGTTGGTGATCCTCAGAAAAATTATTTGCATTTTTTATATTGCACTAAATCAGGGGTCCTCAAACTACGGCCCCTGGGCTGGATACATGCAATGAACGATTGTGTTGCTGCAGAGAGTCTCCCCCTTTGGGGTCTTTTTGTGTGGGTCGGAGGGGGGCAGAAATTCCAACTTGGGGTCTGCTTCAGCCTTCTGGTGTGGGGCTTTGGGCGAAGGCTGGAGGGAAGTGCCGCTGGTGGCGGAGAGCTGGAGGGCCTCGTTCCAGGGGAACAGCATCATGGCCTGGAACTGGTTGACTATATCAGCCCACTGAGCCTTCAGGTGCCGGTACCTGGCCTTGCACTCCCGCAGGTCTTCCCTCTGCTTGGAAAGCCTATGCTCCTAGTCCTCAGCGAGGTGCTTCTGCTGAGCCTCCTTCTTGGCCAGATCCAATTTGAACGGAGCCAGTTGTTTTGCCAACTCTTTCTCGCGGTGGCTGCTTAGCTCCAATAATTGCTTCCTGTTGGGAACCTAAAGAGCCCGGGTGGGGAGGCAAGGAGTGGCTGGGAGGGGAGGGGTGAGTAGAGGCTGGCCGAGGTGCCCCTAGATGTGGGTGACATTGAGTTGGCCACTTCCGCTCAGTCACATGACACCTAGCTACCCCCCCACCCACCCAACCGGTCATTAGACAGATCATATAAGTGGTCTGTGGGATTTAAAATTATGAATTTGTTGGTTCCCAAGGTCCGAAAGGTTGGGGATCCCTGATATAGGGGCCCCTTGGGTGAGGGGTCGGGTGGGCCCCTTCCTAGACCGGCAGAGATGCTGGGCTCCCTCTGGACTTATTGAGAGCTTCAGAGTGGGAACTCCCTGAGCCTGGGGGTGTGGGGGGAGGTCCTCTTGCTAGCCAGGGAGACCAGGCGGTGGTGCAGGTATATAGCTCACCTTCTGGGGCTCATCCTCGCCCCTCTCAGAATGAAATGCTGAGAGAGGGTTGCATGGGGGAAGGCGGCAAGGATGAGGGCCAGGAATCTTTCAAACAGTGGAAGGCTGCTTTCATGGAAGCACAGCTGAAGCTGGCAGCACTTCCAATCCCCGAGAGAACTTGGGGTCACTCCAAAGGAGGTTTCTTCCATGTGGAGAACCAGTTCTGTTTAGACAAACCTCCCATCTAGACTGGCCCCCATCTAGCTGGGACCTCTGGAACCGCCAGAGCTGCTCTTTGGCATTGGCACGGCGGGACTCTCCATGGGGCAAACATTCCTGGTTCTGGACTCCTCCTTGCCTAGATTGTGTGAATGTAGATCCTGGATTCCTGATCCCTGTTAGAAAACATGGAGAGACAAGGAACTGTCCTCTGCCTGCCGCAGGAACCTGCCTGTGCAAAGAGGAGCTGTGTATCCTGGGGAGGGGAGGGGTTGCTGGATACATCCCTCCACACACCCCCAGCCTCCCTTAAGCTTTGCTCTTGCCTTGCAGACACCCAGCGAGCTGTGGCAATCCTGGCCCGCTATCAGCGGATTCTGCAGTCCCCGGCGGAACAGCCCCTGCGAGCCTCGATCGAGAAAGTGACCCGTGTATTTCAGAGCGAGCTTTTCCAGGCCCTGCTGGGTAAGGGTGGCTGGCAATAGCCGAGCGCGCAGGCTGTGCCCCTCCTGGGGGTGCACCTGGGCACAGGCTCCCTTAAACCAGAGCAGCTGCTTGGCAGGGGATTGGGTTTGATGTTCAGGCCTCCTCAGAGCTGCATCCCACAAAGATAGCAGTCTCTTCGGAGGACATTCTGCAGCCTCTGGGCAGCTGAGTCTGGGGGCGCTGGAGACCCTTCCCAGGGGCCATGTTTGCTCCCCCTGCTGGCTAAGCTCCAGGTTCTCTGCGGAGCAGAGCTGTTTTTTCGCTCAGCAGGTGAGACTCACCTGGCTCCTCCTGCCTGGCTCTCTCAGCCAGGAGGGTGAGCCTGTAGCCCTGCAGGGATGGCCGGTAGCCAGTTCTCCCTTCAACCACTCTGTTAGAGGACCACATGCCTGGATTCTGCTGAGGGGCTGCAGGGAGGAATGGCAACCCTGGGAATGGCATTTGGGAGGGTCCGCTCTTCCCATCCTGGGGAGGGAGAGGATGCATTGGGAGGGGGGCATCAGCCTAGGGGCTTGCTTGCTGCTGGTCTGAAAAAGTTCCTGGGAAACCTGATTGCGTCTCCTTCAGAGACACAGCCTGCCTGAATGGTGTCCCAGGATGCTTAGAGGTTCTTTGAGGGGGGAAAGGCTCCTCTGCCAGGGGGCAGGACAGGAGGGTCTTCTCAGCTGGCCTCTCAAGGCGTCTTTCGGTCTGTCTCCCAGACATCCAGGAGTGCTATGAGCTGAGCTTGCTTCCTGCTTGCCAGCAAGATGGATCAGCCAGTCTGGGGTCTGGGGGCCCCTCCAAGAGCCATGACGCTGCTGACCCAGGGGGCCAAGAGGGCCAGCCACTGCAGGTGAGACTGAGGGGCTCCTTTCCTCCCCTCCCCTCTTATAGCTCCATGACACCTAATTAGTTGTACCAGTGATGAGAAACTGCTCTTAGCCCCACACTGGGGCCAAGGCCAAGCCATTTTGCCCCAAGCCCCAAATCTCCCTTTGGCTCTTTGACAGTATGCCCTGATCTGCCTTCCCCTTTGGCTGCTGAGCTGGGCAGAACTTTTTGGGCATTAGAGTAGCTCCTCCCCACAGCCCCCCTTTCCCTCCCCCCTCCTGCCTCCATCATCTCCTGGCTTCCAAAAGTCGAAGGCCGGGAAGAGAGCCCGGCTGGTCAGTTGCAGGGGTCTGCGCTGCTTCACTTTCACGCTGACCTTGAGGCCTCCTTAACAAGCTGTGTTTTAATTGGCCAAGCTTGAAAAATTAGTGTCTGTGATTTTTCAGTGCTTCTTTTTTGAAAGAGGAAAGAACAAGCCTCTCATTCTCATGGCAACAGCAGACAGAATTGGCAGGTGGATGGTTGTAGCCCGGTCAACAGCTTAGGTGCCCAG